TCAGCACACCAAACAGAAGCAGGGGCAAACGCCGTGAAATTGCATCGGCTCGGGCGCCAAGGTTGCGCGCAGACTTTGTTGCCCGTCGCAATGAGAGCCAGAAGGTGCAGCACAGCACGAGAACAGTATAACATAGTTTGCCTACTGTGAGCTGCGCGGCGAATGGTGTGACCATCTCTCCTAGCAGCGCGCTGCCTACCCACACCTGTTCCATCTGTCATGCTGTGAGTGTAACCTTCCTCCAGTACTCGCCATGCGTCCGTAGTGGGGTGGGCCGCTACCTTCAGCCCACCTCGCGGCAAACCATGTCTCGCGCGGTTGGGCTTTTTCCAGACAAACGGAGACGCTTCGCCAATACTCCTTCTATATGGCGAGTGTATCAGCATTCATCATGTCACTGAGTGTCGCGCGTGCGGATATGGCAATGGAAAATACACTGATGGCATAGTCGGTAACGTGGTGCCCACTCCACCTGTGCCCAAATGCCCCCTCAACGCCGTCGACCCACAGCGCAGGTTCAGCGCGCAACGTTCTACCTGACGCACTGTGCGTGGGACGGGATCGGCCGCAACGTCAGCATACTGTTCTGGACAAAGAACGCGGAGGATACCTTTCCGTGCTCTAATCAGCTTGCGGCGGAGCCGGCGGCGGCGCTGGCAGGGGCAGCGGCGGCGGCAGGGCTCGGCATCCGGATCGGCGCCGCCATTGCGTTCCGCGCAAGTGCTGCCAGTGTTATGTAGGCTTCGGGCTCCAGGGGCCCTGCAGCCCTCGTGGTTGGGTGGTTGGGGCCGCTGCGCGCCGCGCCGCTTCGAAATCCAAACCCCGCTTATGAGCAGACCCGCCAGGGGCCCTACATCGGCATGCTTCAAACGATCTGCTGGATTCTGTCGCGTAGTCCATAAGACATGCGTGCATCTCGGCGAATCTGGAACCAAAAGGTCACCTGGAGCGCCCAATTACGAAACACCGTTGGGCATGCCTGACATCGTCCGTCTGGGTGCGCATCTGCACGTGCCAGGTCGGTATGTATGCGGTGCTTGCGTGCCGCATGTGCCCGATGCGCTGCATGGCTGCGAAAATCCCTAGCACGCCATGGGGGTGTTGTGGTTTCGATTCTTTCCCGCGCCGTCGGTGCATCAATAAGCATGCCGTTGGATATTGTGTGAACCCGTTCTGGAAGTCCATCAGTCTGACTGTGACAAAGAAATTCTCGTCGACTTGCTCTGCTGTGTTTGCGCGCGTGTCTGCCTGTGCTCGCGCGTGCCCAGCCTGTCCGAATATGCGTCTCCAGGCTGACGGGCAGGAGACCCGCCAATGTTCGTGACCTCGCGGGGGGCGGCGCTGCTGTCCACTCCGCTCTCCGCAACGCATGGGCGAGAATGGGGCCACTGACCAGCCGCGATCCGTGCTGTCGTCGAGGACGGGAGGTGGAGTTTTGCGAATGCCATCTGGTCGGACGCGCGCGACTCGCTCTCCGCATGCCCGGCTCGTGCAACCGCGCGATATACCTTCATGACATCGATCCACGACTGTTTCGCTTTCCCGCTTGACGAGGCAGCCCAAGCACCAGCGTTGCACGAATGCCCAGACATGACCACACGGTCTGCAAACAGCATCCATCCCGACATTGACAGGGCATCGGCGGCAGACGCGCGTCTTCGCGGCGTCTGCAACGACGCAGCTGCGGTGCTCGTACGAGAGAACGCCTGCTTGGCCCCGGGCCACCTCAGAGAACACATTTCTACAGTTGTGCTCGGTCCCACTTGGAGCGAGTGCCCCCACGTGGAAACAACTTTATTCACGACCAGCACCACCCGACACATGCCTCTGTACACAACACTAGTAGTATATGTATAGATATACGGCCTGCTGCCACTGGCAAGATTACTGATCCGTCATCCGCGGAGACGACGCCCAGCGCGCATATGTGGACAGATTTGCGGTACTGTTGTCATCCTCACATGCTAGGTCGTGACACGAACCTTCGGTTACGAGCGTGCTGCGCACGGTGCTCAGGCAATCACCCATGAGCGTCTCGTGCAATATGCTAGCCAGGCAGGGATACCTGTCTGGACCCATCGCAGGTAAACTGTGGCGCTTTGTAGCACTGACTTGACGTGCGACATGCGCGTCCGCATCTGTGCGTGCCAGCAACGCTCCATGCTGTTTGTTGTAGTCTGCGCGCAAGCTCGTGCATCGCTGACGGCCGCAGTCCTTCTACCTTGACAATGCAAGTAGTGGGCAGGTCATCGAGCTGCGACACGAAACAGAAGCAATTTTTTCATGATCCAGTGGAAGGCCTGCGCCACATCCATGAACGGTACGCCGCGCGATGACTGTTGAGGCGGGGGTGCCTCTGTGCTAGCCGAAAGGTGAGCGACGCCTGAGTGGTGCCTCTACCTGGTATTCCACCGAGCCATGCCAATGGGCTGCGGCTTGAGGATTTGGCCTGTCAAGCGCCTCCTCGATGCGTTGCCTATCAGCTGCGCTTCAGCTGCAATGCGTAACGAAAAGCTGCCATATCTGCGGGAAGCATGTGCACCAGCCTCCCGTTACTCCGCCACGCCCTGAAGCTGTCTGCCGAGCCTGTCTGCACGCGAGCTCGAAGCTAGCACGGGAGGCGACCGCCCGCGCTGAAATTGGCTCAGGTTCGCTCATACCTGCAGATCCTGCAAGATAGGCATCTCCCCGAACCATCCGACGATGTCGAGACCCAGCCCCGATCCTTCGACAGGCCGCGAATGGAATAACGAACTGTCTCCGGTCCCAGGCATCCCGGATACGCGGAACGATCGCGCCACCATGGACAGCCAAATCCAGGAAGGCCGACATCTAAATCGTAAACGCCGCAACCCGCAAGAGCACTGACGAGAAAGACCGGGGGGAAACTGCCGCGGCCAGAGCCATCGAAGAGAGAATCAGATGCAACCTGTTGTAACCTGCAACCAACGCTGAACCCCTTGGATCCACGTCCCTAAGCTATAGACCTATGCGCCTTCCACATGGAAGATCCTGCGCGGGCGCGCTACACGGCCACCGTATCCGATCCAAATGGTCGCGGCAAAGAGGGGGAGGGACGCTCGACCCCTCCAGCATTGTGGTAGACGCGCGCGCGGCTGCCAACTGCCTCGCAGAAGTCGCGCAGGATCGCGTGCGAGGGGCCCCCGCGACGCAAAAACCTGTGCGCGCGCGCGAATGCAGAACCACTCCTGTGCCTCCTTAACGTCCGATGCCCGCGAGTCGTGGCTGATTCAACCGGCGTCGGAATCGCCAAGTCGGCGCGCCCTGCGGAGCGACGGCGCACCAGCGAGAGCGAATGAGCAAACGGCCGATCCCGCCTGGCCCCCTCTCCATGCGCGATCGCTGCGGGGAAACGCGCGCGGTGTCTGCCATGGCCACTTTCTGATTAAGAAGCTTTGCGCGGCCTTCAGTGTGCAACTGGAGCTCTGGCGGGCATGTGCTGTGCGTCGCGCAACGACGCGTGTCAGCTCGCTCCTGAGCATCGAGCTTCTTGGGGTCGAGTGAGATCTGGGGCGCCGGGAGCGCGCGGGAGCGCCGGGGAAGCGCCTGGGAGCGCCTGGGAGCGCCAGGGAGCGCCTGGGAGCGCTTGGGCACGCCGCTGTCGTGCGCCGGCAGGGCCCCTGGGTTGCGGCAGCCGTGCTTCGGCCACGCCCGCAAAGTGGTCATCGGCAAGCATCGCAAGGCCCGCGACAGGTTCACCCCCAGATCCCCCACGATCGGCAGCATGTTATTCAGGACTGTCGCGAAGTCAAATATGTGCTGAGGGTCTTGCGCGGCACCCCCCTGGCAGAAGCCAGGCCCCATGGGCCCCCGAAGCTGGTTCAACCGCGCCAGCGCCGCTGCTTGATCTGTCCTTTCCAGAAATGCGAGCATAGAAACCCATGGTATGTTCTCGGTTTCGGCTCCGACCGCGCCGACTGACCCAGACCGCCGCAGGCTTGGCGTAGCATTGGAATGTAGCATGCGCAAGTGTAGGCGCGCGGGACTGGATCATAATCGCACCCCTGTTCCAACAATTTCGCCCGCGCCCCTACCTCTGTCGCCGTGTGGCGTAGACGCGGCGCGTGCGCAGCGAGGGTGTCGAATGCGGGCCAGCAGGTGTCTAGACGAGCGCGCGCGCGAACATGGTGGCACGCCAGAGCACGCCCACGCGAATGCGGCACGCGCGCGCCGGTCCAACGTGCCACTCCGACATGTCCGCACGTCTCGGCGACCAGCGTCACCGCCGGGCCCCATGCCCCCTGTGCTGCGCTTCAGTCGCGCTTCCAAGCTACCAACTATCAAGTACTGCCGGCGAGCGAACTGCGCCATTGCATTCGGCCAGGGATGTCGATGCCTGTCGCGCCCTGACATCTGCGCCCATGGCGGGGCCCGCCCCCTGTTGCCCTTGACCCGCGGGGGCGCGCTGGCCACTGCCAGTCGCACTTGATTGCGTCTTGCCCCATCGCGGCTGCAGCTGGTGCGCGCGCGTGAAACGATCGGCCTCAGAGCGGAGCAGCTCGCGCGGCCTTCCAGAACAAATGCTGCGAGCGGGGGCGTCATGCCTTCTGGGTCTGCAAGGCCGCGAGTTTGAAAGACCGGTTGTAAGCCCGCCATGCCCCTTCTGACATGCTTACGCGCGCCCAATCATGTCATGTTTCAGTGTCGCTTTGACGCCCCCCGGGCCTCTCCAGCCTGCAACGCTCCATCTACGTATTCCATCTGGCTTGTCGAATACTTGCAGCGCGAGCTTCAGGTCAACAGCGCCCGGCTCCTGATCCTGAGCTGCCGCGACTACACATGCTTTGGCACTGGCAACCAACCGCGCCAACTTCTCGATAACTTCCAACTGTGGCGGTGGTTGATGCAGGCGTCGAGAAGCGTGATGTACCGGAATCGTGTGATTTCCGAGCGTGGATCCCTGCGCCCTGGGCTGGGCACCCCATGGAGCTGAAAAGCTTGCCCGCCCCCTCTTGCGCCACTGGGCGACGCACGGGCGAGCGTCTTTTATAACCCTGACCTTTTTGCAGCAAGTGATGTCCACCTTCTGCGATGTCGCGGGCTTCCGAAACTTCCTCATGGACCTCGAGCAGCGGCCATTGACTGGCGAAGGTGACCGTGTTGCCCCTCCTGCGGGCCATCCTTTTTCCCCTCGACCTTGTCCTCCGCATGGGCGGTGGACTTGGCCTTTTTTGGAGCTCCTCGAACAACTGGATCTGCAAAGCGCCGCGTTCTGGCCCGCCTGATTGAACGCTTGGCCCACGATCTCTCCAAGTCTCCTGGCTACCTCGGCTGCCGACGCCCTCCCCTCGTCGGTGATGGGCGCATCAGCCTCCGCATCCATCGCATCACCTTCAGGTACTGGTTGGTTGAGGCCTCCCGCAAGCCGGGGCTGCCCAAGCTGGGGCTGCTGCTGCTGGGCCCTGCTGGCGCCGAATCCTACGTCTCCCGTGCCTGCGCCCTCTTCCACCCCATGTCCAGACGGGCGGCCAGACACTTGTTTGCTGCCTGCACGAACGGGTGAGGATTGTGAGAGGCCTTTCGGGAACTGGCTTTGGATGTACATATCAAAAGACGGTGCAGGCTCCGGGGATTATTTCTCCAACTCTTTGAGGCCCTGCTCGGCTGCCATGTGGTGTCGGACTTCGAGCTGTTGCACTTCGTGCTCAAGGTCCCGGATGGTTTCACAGCTTATCATATGCGGCGACCTCAAGAACATGACTCGCTCTTTTGTGCCACGCCCCATTCTTCCTGTGTGCCTCCAGTTGATCCTGCAGCGAATTGCGTTGTTAATCCCTTGGTTTCTGGGCGAACTGACTTTGACCGACTTGAGCTCCCCTGCGCCCCGGAGGCAGTGTCTCCCCGAGGTGCATTCCATCCTCTTCCAAAGCTGCGCCGCCACCGATGCAACGGAAACGAGGTCGCGCGCTGACTCCTCAAGGCCTTCTCCTCCAGGGCGGGTGTCAGCCACTGGGCTGGCTGGGGGCCCTCTCCACGGATTGGGGGCCTTTTTCTGGTTCATCCCTGGCTGGCGTTCGCGGGAATCCACTCCCTTCTCCCCGCGAAGTTGTGACCGCACGATCCACTGAACTTGAAAAGTGTTCCTCAGCCCATGTCCATCCTTCGCATTCCTCAATCTGGCAGCACATGCCGCGGCGCTGCCCGCCTGCGCCCCGCGAGCGGCTGTCCGCGCGGCCGGCCATGACTGCATACTGGTGGCCCAGGCGAGGCGGACCGTCTGGGAGAACGCGCTCGCCACCCAGGCCATGCCTGGCGACCGAACACTGGCGCTGCGGTGAGCGAGCCGATCGACCACTCTCTCTTGAGCGAAGGATAACGGAAAAAGGAAATGAGAAGGAGGAGGAGGAGGAGGAGGAGGAGGAGGAGGAGGAGGAGGAGAGGAGGATGAGGAGGACGAGGAGGACGAGGAGGAGGAAGAGGATCGAGGACGGAGGTTCAGGGATCTCTCTCCTGAGTCCATCCCCCTCCTTGGCGGTGCCCCCGATCTGCGCGCCTGCCGGCTCCAGCGCCCGCCGGCGCCGGCGCTGGCCGGCCGGGCCTCCGAGCGCTGCCGGCGCGCCTCGGCCTCCAGCTCGGCGCGCCGCCGCAGCGCGGCCTCGACTTCCTTCGGAGGGCGGTCGACTCAAGGGCGGGGGGGGGTCTTCTGAGAAGGCCCCTGCCTTTTACAGCTCACGCTGGGAAAGTAGTGTGCCATGTGGATTTCCGCACAGCGCGCTATCCTTCTGAGGCGATGCCCCACGAGGCCCCACGATATGCACACTAGTCACCTGCCACGGCTGCTCCGTTATAGGCTGTCTCAAAGGTGGGGGATAGCGTGCAATAAGCGGGCTGGCGGCGCCACATCGCACGCCACCTCTGCAACGCCAGCCGTAAAAAGCCCCGCTGCCTTCTCAGACGCCCCCCCTCGGCCTTCCAAGAAGGCGCGGGGCTTCCGGGAGGGCCAGTGGCTTCTCAAGCTCAAGCTCTCCTGGCTTCCAAGGAGGCCTTTTGCAAGGCTCCTGAGCAGGCCCCTGCCTTCTCAGAACCCCCCCTCCTTCCTCGGACATCCCACCCCAGTGAGGAGAACAAGTAGCGTGTTGGGAAGAAGGGGTTGGGAGGATGGAAGGTATGAGCAATAGGATCCGGATACAATCAACGATACCTTCGGCCGCCTACGGGTAAGGATCTCCACATGTCTCCCAACCCCATCCTCCCCACCCCAAGAACCTTTTCCTGGCCCAGACCCCTGGCGCCATGTTTTCACAACCCCGACCTCCAGAAAAATCTCGACCCCCTCCCCGAGACCGGCTCTTCACTCTGGGCCGCTCCTGGACGGCCCCGAGGCCTGGACAGGGGCCCCCGGAGGCCGAAGGCAGAGGCAGACGACCTGCCGCCGCGGCTCCTCCGTGACTCGATCCAGGGCGCCCCTGAGCCTCGCGCCTCCCCCCCTCGAGCGCGCCGCCAGCTCCTGCGCCAGCACGGCCAGGCGCTCCCGCGTGAGGCCGAGCCCAGTGCAGGCCTTCGCCGCGGCCGCGGAGGCGGCCGAGGCCTCGGGAGGGCCGGGGGAGGCAGCGGAGGCCCCCGAGGCGCGCCCTGCCCGAGCCTCCCGGAGACCAGGGGGCCTCCTCCTCCTCCTCCTCCTCCTCCTCCTCCTCCTCCTCCTCGGCCGGGGCCCGACTCGGCCAGGCCGAATTCGGCTCGGGCCGAGTTCAGCCTGGCCGAGCTTGGCTGGCCGAGCTCAGCCTGGCCGAGCGTCGCCTGGCCGAATCTTCTCCATTGTCCTGGAAGCTTCTTGTCGCCACGGCTGGATCCACCTCGAAGCACGGGATGGATGGTCCAAGATCCAATGTTGAGCGAGTGGGCACCGCGGGGGAGCCGGAGGGGCATGGCCCCCGCTCTGCCTTTCGTGCGCTCGGGTGCGCCGAAGACTTGGGCCACGAAGAGGGGGGCAGCAAATCGTGGGCAGAGGCCAGTACGCGAACGATGGGGGGCCAGGGGACGTATTGAAATTAGAAAAGAGGCCCATGATATGTTGGAGCTTTCATGGTCCCAACCATGGGGTTCGCTCAGGGGGGGGGGACATCGACTTGGGATCGGCGATGTATCGATCCGCCTGATTATATCACCCCTTCTAGCATGTTTTTCTCATGATCGTCCATCTTGCATATCAGATAAGGAGACCAACCTTGTTTTGCACAAGGTCCAGAGCTTGACACGTTCGAGATGGTTCTGCCAGCGGTCAGGATCAAGTGTTGATCGCTTGTTCAAATCGGGCAGTGCTTGAACGACCACATGGGACGCACACGCGTGTGGGCGATTTAATGAACACCCGAGAACACACAATGACCAATAACAACAAGTTCACCATCCACGGATACTATAGCAGCAATGACAACCTTGGCGGCAGGAGACTCGAAGCAACACTCTATATACTGATAGCTGTGACGCTACCGACTGGGGGATAGTGGGCGTCGTACCTTCACGAACACTAGAATGCGAGATCACAGGGAGTATGTCGACCGCTATCCCAGACTTTTCGGGAAGACGTAAGACTCGGGTACGGGGGACTCGGGTTGGCCAGACGGAGCCATCATACAAATGGCGAGGCCAAATCTGAAATTTGTTGCGAGCTCCCGCTGCCAGCATCCCACGAAAACTGGATCGTCAAAATCCATGACGCGCTCGTCAAAAAACGTCGGCGAACCAGAGTTCCGGCTTACTCGAGTCTTACGTTTCCTCGAACTTTGTGGGATTTTCGAGTGGGCCAGCAGTTTCGGGCCAAACTCGGGGATAGACGCCGGGGGGGCGTCCATCCTCGACATGGGGTGCGTCGGAATAGCCCACCTGTGAGCGCATCCCCGAGTTCCCCCCATCCTTATCTGCGCGGCTGGATTTTTCACGGGAAGGTCCGGGGGTTGGGGGGCGAGAAGTCTGAGGGTGCCCTGGGACACACACACAAATAAATACACACAATAAAACAAGTCCCCATATTTTCTCATAGTTTTTTCTGGTTTTCTTCTTCCCCCCTCTTCCCATATTTTCCTGGGAATCGACGATTCATTGTGTCCCTGTGTTTTTCCCCCCTCCTGAAAGTCGCCTGCGACGAGAGACCACGCATGTGACCCTGCGAGGGAGCGCGGGGGAGGCAGTGCGAGAGACCCTGCGGGAGGCCAGATCCGCCACCGTGCCCCGAGGCACGGCCCTCAGGCCCCCTCGCTTTCTCAGCTCGGGGATTTTCTGACCCGGGCAGCCAGGACGTGCAGAATCCTGCAGGATCCTGCACCCAAATAAGGGTCAATGCAAAGGATCCTGCAAAATCTTGCGGGATCCTGCACCCAAGCCCGGGTCAAGGCGACCCTGGCCCTGCAAGATCCTGCAAAATCCGGTGCTCTGGCTGACCCCCGTTTGCATTGACCCCCGTCTCTTGAGCCCCGATGAGCCCCCCCGCCAAGTTCTCCGCACTGGGCACTGCAGACATCCGCGGCAGGGGCCCGCGGCCCCCGAGTTCCAGACCTTCTGGGCGCTGACCGAGCGCTCTCGGGGATCCCCCGCGGGGCCCTTCCAGGGGCAGGAGGGGCCCCGGTCGGGCCAGGAGGGCCCTCAAGGTCCCCAAGCCGGGCCCAAGAGGGCGGGCCTTGTCGACAGGCAGGAGGGGCCCCAGAGGGGCCAGGAGGGCTCCCAGGGGCCCCCGAGGAGCAGGAGCAGGAGGAGGAGGAGGAAGAGGAGCAGGAGGAGGAGCAGGAGGAGGAGGAGGAGGAGGAGGAGGAGGAGGAGGAGCAGGAGAAGGAGGAGGAGGAGTTGAGCGTGCGGAGGAGGAGGAGGAGGAGGAGGAGGAGGAGGAGGAGGAGGAGGAGGAGGAGGAGGAGGAGGAGGAGGAGGAGGAGCCCCACACCCGTTAGCGCAGCAGAGAGTGCACTCCATGATGACGAAACGCACAACAACGGGCGCGGCCTCGAACTGCTTGGAGTGCGAAAGCCCTATCCTGCCCTCCCCGCCTGCGGCGCTGATTGAAGGCAGAAAATAAAATGTCAATGGCGACAGCACAGGCATGCATGAACTCACTCACTTTAGGGGTGTGCTCAAGAGGCGGCCAGAGATGGGGAATAACATTGAAAGGCGCAACATACCCCCACTCCGGTGGGGGCGAGGGGGGGAGCTCCCTCAGGAGGGGGATCACAACAGGACAGGTGACATAGTGAGAGATATTGTCGGCCCCATAAAGTGCAGCACCCGAAAACACAAGGCCCAGTGGCCTGTCTGAAACGCTTCGTAGTTGGCCAAGCATTGAACACGGTTTTTAGAAGGGATGTAATAATACAACTGGGCAGCCTCCTCGCTATAATATAAAGCCTCAGAGCCGTCAGTTGAGCATCTTGGGGCGTAGCATGTGGTAGCCAATAGCGAAGACGAGCAAGGGCGAGATGATTGATGAAGTGATGGGGCTGACGTCGAACAATAAACTTCGCGATCATACTCTGCAGCTTTTTCGGGGGCTCGTGGATCGGGGCATCGGGGATTCTGATGTACTGGCTATACTCGATAAGCATGTTCCAGAAGATAGAATTCAGGAAGTGCGGGTTCCACTTATACGTTAGGGTCCTGTTGTCGTCTTCCTGGGCAGCATTATACATGGAGCGCACAGCATGGAACTCTTCCGAGCGGATGGCACAGCGTAGCATGGGCGCACGACGAAGGGTTTCCATAGAGCGACACTGCACAGGAATACCTAATTCTCGGAGATGGAACATGGCCTTGGGGAAAAAAAGCATGCCGCGGCGCACGAGGAAGCTTTTGGTGCGCCTCTCGTTCTGCACGAACGAGTTCCTTAGACGGCAGGTAGAACTGCCCAGCGTGCGATGTGACAGGGGCGACGTAGGTGTTGAAAGCCTGCACGGACTGGATGGAACTCAGCCCCAGGCACCGCACGTCCTCTGTCCTGCTCCTAATTGTCACTGCAACCGGCTGCCAGGCGTCAAGAAAACCATGCTCACCGACCTGAACTCCCAGGAGTTTGCCAGACATCTGAATCTGATAACGGGAAACATCAAGCCCCCGACCACGGATGGCCTCCAGGACATCCTTTTTCTCCACCATATTCAAAACAACAGTGACACATTTCTTATAGTTAAGCGTGAGCCCAATTACTTTACCTGACAGCACAAGCCTTACCAATACCTGCGGCAGGGTCTTGCAGAGGTTGCGTGCGACTAAGTAAACGTCATCGGCGAAGGCGCCGATCTGAAATACGAGACGCTCCTGCAGCTGTATCACGTAGCAGAGCACTGGACCCAGCACAAGCGCAAAGAGCACGCCACTGAGTGGACATCCCTGTTTCATCCCTCGAAAGGAATAGAAGCCATGCCCCCCTCCACCCCATACTATTGAAGTCCATATATCGTCATATAGTTCCGCTATCGCATTGATGAGATAGGGTGGCGATTTCATACGAATCAGAACGCAATTGATCCAGCAGCACAAAAACACTCGGGAAGGCGTTCTTAAAATCGAAGAGCGTGAAGCCGCGCTCCGTGTGCCTATAGACGGTGCCCCAAAGCGTGAGCAGACCATCCGTGTGGATGATATTGCCATTCATCATCCTCCCCTTGACGAACCCCCGCTGGACGACGCGGCAGGTTTCAGCAGCGACATGATGTAATACCGAAGCGATGGCGGAGCCGAGGAGCTTGTTATCAATATTTGAAAGCGATTGCGGTCGAACGACATGTGGATCTCGAACCTCCCCCCCTCCCTGGACAACATCGCCTTTAGGCAAGCACACAGCCCTGCAATGGTTAAAGCTGGGGGCGACCCTGCCACCAGAAAGGGTGTGGCAGTACAGGGCATAAAGCGCAGCACGCGTCTTCTTACCTGTCCTTTGCCAGGCGGAATAGGGGGCGCCATCGGGGCCCGTGGCTGTGTCACGCTTGAAATCGACCAAGCCGTTGAAATGCTCCTCGGTCAGGGCCCAGTCGGATCTCTGGTGGCCACTGGTGACATATTGAGGCCCCGCACCGTCAACCTCCTGGATGTGCTGAAATAGAACATGCTCAGGCCCAAGACAACCTTCATCTTCATTGTCAAAGACTTTGCCCCAGTAGTCAGCCAGAAGCCTAGCAGCCTCTTCAGGGTCAGTATGGACCTCTCCCTGAGGTCCTCGAACACCAACGAGCTCAATGCGAGGCCGCCGTGCAGCCCATGCAGCAGAGAGACGCTTGACTCGACGAATGGCCTGCTCAGCAGCTTCCGAACCTAGCTCATTGTTCTCACACACCTCCCTCTCCTCCTCCTGGTACTCCTCACGCATCATGGGACTGAGATGCTCATGGAATCGCCCTTGATCGAGCCAGGTCGTCGTCTCGGGGTTAAAAAAAACGCGAAGAGGTGCCTGTGGCCCAGACAAGCACGCCGAGCATGATAGAAGCTGCCAGACCGCGCCGCACGGACAAGCTTGAGACAGCAGGCTGCCTTCTCTGGCCTCGTGCGGGCGCCGGAGATCTCGACGTACCTCCGAGTGTGGCCAGCGGCAATGTGAAATATCTCTTTAACTTCCTGCACAACAGTGGGGGGATGCGGCGAAAGCCCAGTGGAAGCGATAAGATCCTCGACAAACTCACCGATGTGCGGATGCTTGGCCACCCACGGGGGTATAGAGCCTTGACCTGTAACTGCAGGCCGCGGAGCATGCAGGCAAAGAAGGACTGGAACGTGGTCAGAGGGCTTGCCCCTGTCTGTAACCTCCCAGAGGACTCCAGTATTAGGCCGATAGTCTAGTAGCGTGACAGTGTCAGAGTTGCAGTGTATGCGATCGAGACGAGCGTATGTCAGCTTATTGCGTATGAATGCACGGTGGGTATAGGCTGGTTGTTCGACTTCGGAGTAATGGGGGAAGAGATAGTCAAATGTGGTAGCTAATCGAGATGGCGATGTCTTAGGAACAGGTGGTTCAAGATAGTGTCTGCATTCTCCATGTTCATGGAAATTGATGCCGCCTAGCAGAATACTCGTAGCCTGGAACTGCGGGAGCAAGGAACGAGACAGATAATGGAGAAAACCGCGTGTTGCTCGTTCAGACCACTCAGGATCCATATGGGCACTCGTAACCTGCAATACACCTTTCGGGCCCTTAAGAGTAATCGTGAGAATGCGACCTGCCGCGAGCGCGTGCGAATCTATCATCGTGAACTGCTCGGCGAGCTCTTTCCTGACCAGCAGCACTGCGCCTCCAACGTGGGCCTCCTGAGTGAAGGCACCGAAGGCTCGGAATCTCGGAAAGTCGCGGGTCAGAGTCTCAAGGTCCCCTTCCTGACCATGGGTCTCCTGTGCAACAAGTACATCCATCTTCCGTGCAATGCTGGCCAGAGCTTTAAATTTAGACGCACCGTGCGTGTGGGAGGCAGAACTGGAGTGGAAAAGAGTCTGGGCATTCCAGGTGCATACTCGAAGCGGCTGCGCAAGCAAGAATGGTTTTGTGGGCGCTTCTGGTCCACGCGAATCTGTGCCATCTACTGTCCTCCCTGCTGAGCTGGAACATTGTGTCGATGGGGTGGCCGAGGGACAGGTACTGGCCGAAAGAGAAGCATGAGTCTCCGACTACGCTGGTAGTGCTTTCATGCTCCCAAAAAGATTGGCCATGATTGTCATCGACGCTCGACGAGTATGCCAGCTGCTCATCCTAGATGTAGGCGGCCTTGTTCTGGACATCCTCCATGATCCTGTTCAGCTTGTCGGTGTCCAGGGAGAAGAAAGAGACAGTGTCTTGATCTATGTCGAACGTGAACGACGCATGGTTGACGTCCGAGCAGCTGACCAGCGGCCAAACATCATTTCCATCTGGCCAGTGCATCGTGCCCTTGTACCCGTTGATGATGGGCTTCGAACCTGCAGTGTACCGTGGGCTGGCTCCGAAGAGCTCGATGATGGGGTCCCATACCTTGCTGAGCGCCCTCTGTGTGGTCCTGACGTCTTTCGGCAGGTCAGATCTGGCCTTCATGTAGTGCATCGATCCACCTCGCGGGTCCATCCACTGGTTGTCCGAGTTGTTGAAGACCCCCGTGAACTCCTTCGCCATGGCTTCGCTGGAGAAGGTGAGGGAGTAGCTCTGGCTGATGCGATGGTACTGCGGCGTGACATTGTTCATCATGACCGGCGTCAGGATGTTGTCCTTCCACGATGCAAAATGTGCATGTCTCATGCTTGCTAAAATCGCACGAGGGAATGTGCCGATCCAGCGTCGACACTTGTCATATTGATAAGATCGCGATTTGTGCCCATTGGGTGATGCATTCTCCGATGCTGACGTGCGCTGGATTTTGGCGGCTGGCTCAGTAAGCCGACTGGCCCACGTACTACCATCTGCAGATCCTCCAGCTGAGCTTGTTGCTGAGGTCGATGCTTCATGCTGAAGACGAGCAATGGCGGCACTATGCTTCTGTAGCGTTTCCCGAATCTGGACTATGTGATGTGTCTGCGCCGTCATGCCAGCGTTCTGCTCGGCAATCTTCCGCTCCAGCCCCTGGGACAATTGCGCGAACTGCGTGGCGAAGGTCTGCGTGAGCGTGGTGCCCAGGGAGTCCATCAGCGCTTTCATGGGAACCTCCAGGGCAGCCTGGACTTGCCTCACGATCTCCTCGGCCATGGCAGAAACTGGACTGGAATGAGAAAAGATGGGGTTGTGTCCGCTCGGGCTCGCACCCGAATTGCCCTCTGAAGAGAGCTGCCCACTCAATGAGATGTGAAAGTAAGTACTCCCCAGGACCCACCACACCCGCCTTGAGCCAAAATGGCAAGGAGGAGGAGGAGGAGGAGGAGGAGGAGGAGGGCGTCACTTTTCCAGAAGCAGGAGGGTAGGGCCCCCCAGAGGAGGCGCCGACGGTGGCGGCGGCGCCGCCCCCTCGGGGCGCCTCGTCCTCCACCGTCTGCTGCGGGACGCCCCGGATGGCCTCTCGCAGGGGCGCCGGCGCGGCTGCGCCGAGGAAACCGCCGCCGGGGGCTGACAAGGGCCTCGCGGGCGGGGCGCCCGGGCGTCGCCGTCATCGTCGGCGCCCCTGCCCAACGGGCCAGCAAGCTGCCAGGAGTCCGCCCGCCCCGCACGCAACGCTGCCGCCAGCCCCCTGGACGCCCTGATGGGACCGCCTCGCGGCCTCGACGGAGGACGGCGAGGCCGCTCCCGCATGCCGCGGCCGCCAAGCGTCAAAGCCCGCCGGTTCCTAGCGACCCAAAGCCACAAAACCCCAAAGCTCGCAATTGAAGGGCAGCAGGTTCCGAGGGACAATCACTGGGGCCAGGGGCCAGGCCCCTGGCCTGGGGCCGCGTGGTGCCTGCCGAATGACGTACGGCTGCGCCGCAAGGGTCAGCCGAACCTGGCCGCCATCAGCAATCCACGAGGAGCCGGGGGGCACATGTTTTTGTTCATCCTCCTCCTCCTCTTCCTCCTCCTCCTCCTCCCTCCTCTTCTTCCTCCTCCTCCTCCTCCTCCTCCTCGGCCAGCGCTCCTGCAGCTCGTGTTTGCGCACGGCACGCAGTGGCGAAACTATGGCGTGTGTCTCCGTTGCGCCCCCCACCCTCCTGCCCCCCCGGCCGATATGGCACCGATGTGCCCGACGGCTGGCATGGTCGCTCCGAATGGTCCGGGGGCGTTCCGTGCCCTCTGCAGCGGGTACTAGGGCTTTCTCGCGCCCCAATGGCTCGTGCACAGCAGATGTGCGCTGTGTGCCTGACGGTGCGCCGGCCAGGTGAAAAAAGGTGTGCCTCTCGGCTTCCTTTCACGCGTGGACCTCGCCTCGCGATGCTGGTGTAAAAAGTCAAGATGAATAACGCTTCCTAAACGGCATGTGTTGACATTGTTTGGTCTTGCTTGGCGATCCGTGCACGTGGCCAGAATGATATCTTTCTTACAAATGAGGATTTGGTTATTTAAATATGTTGCGAATTCAAGTTGATCTTACTTTGACGTTTGTGTTGTTCACGAACTAATACTTCGTGTTAGCACATCATCCCCAAAGGTGTCAATTTGCAATTCGTTTGGCATCTATGCAGATCGTAGAACAAAGGAATCGACATACTGTAATACGTCTTCGCGTACACAACGAAAAACCCTGATTATGTAATTCCTGATTATTATTTGTTTTGCTTTTGAGTTTGTACGACATGCTGTAAACATCGATGCAACTATAGATGTGCCCCAATACTTTTCTCTATAAAGGTGGAGTGTCGTTGCTTGTCGTTGCTGGGCATGTTTGGCATTGAGTGACGTTGTCTGGTCGGCAGCGCTCGCTTTCCGTTGTTTGGCGTTGCTTGGCATTGCTCAAGGAAAAACCTAGCAGACCACGGGATGCAGTGATACAGAAAGACCAGGCAATCCGAGACCGGCCTCTGCAAACAGCCAGGGAGCAAAACCAAACGACCCGTGGATGCGAGTAGGGCTGCTTCAGCCATCGGGCTGGAGTCAAACTCCCCAATTGTCGATGGGCCTCGGTTCGCCTATGAAGGCGGCCGAGTTCCTGTTAAAGTTCAGCTATATCCCACCAGCCCTTTGGGCGACAGATGGTCTAAGGAGGGTCTCTTTCCTCTTCCGCAACCCCTCTTCCCTCCGAAGAGGGGAGCCCTCCCCCTCCCCTCCCTGAGGTTTTGTTGGGGGGGGGGGGGTCGCGATGTGTCTGAAGGTCCCCTCTCGGCCCCTGGGAGGGCAAAGTTTTGCCACCTCTCACGAGGATCGTGGCCCCCGAGGGGGGGACGCAAATCTAGTACCCCCACTCTTTTGACTGACCGCCTCCAAGATGGCCCCAGGAGGCCCTCCAGGGCTCCCAGGAGGCTCCCAAGAGGGACCAAAAAACGCCCCAAAAAACCACAAGAGGCATGCCTCCAAAAAGGCACCCGAGAAATCTCCAAGAGGCCCCTGAACGGCCTCAGAGAGCCCAGATGACATCCAAGATGGCCCAGATAGCCCTGGCTCAAAATGGCCCCCAAGATGCTCCAAACGGCCTCAAGGCCGCCCCAAGACGGCTCGAAATGGCCACGGAGCGTCCCGAGCCTCCCTCGCTGTTTGGTTTTGCGTGTCTCTTCCTGTCTCCCCATGTCAACTCTCGGGCATTGTTTCTGGATGGGTTGGTGGGGATACTTCTTAGTCAGCGGACGCAGGCGAGAGCGCCAGCGGCGTGTCCAGTCAGAGCGGGCCGCGCAAAGACGAATTAACCAAAACCGGTGGGCCGAAGCCTCACGCAGCACCTCGGCGGGCAGGCCGGCGAGTGGAGGGGGGCTGACGGCAACTGCTGGGAAACTGCGCTGCCAGGGTGCACGCATACAACGCGTTGCAAGCATGGGCTGGCTGCCAGGGTGGTCGGCTGCCAGGGTCTGCAAGCTGCGAATGACTTGAATGCAGGGGCGCAGGCACCCACGGAACCGCAAGTGTACCATGATGGGCGGAGCCAAGTGAACCGACTGCCACGAGCCGAATTGTGTGCCCTATGTGGGGCGTAAGCATCAACGAGCTGCAGCGTACCAGGATAGCCGAATCCAGGTGGACCAACAGCCTCGAAACGCATTGCATGCGAGTAAATTGAGCAGCGCAAGCTAAGGCGCGGCCAAAGTGTCGCGTGGACGCGCCACGATGTGGCCAGGGTGAGCAACTCAGAGAGACCCAAGAAGCGTGCCAAGGCCTGGCGGGTGCGAGTGGTGGCGCCAGCAAAGTCGCGCACCGGGAGCCCCGAAAAGGCCGGGGGGCGCGATCCGCAGTCGGCACACCAGGGATAGCGACAGACGCAAACGGACGGCGCGAGGGTGATGGGCTGGTGGGGGTACTTTTTTTTGGTCGCGGGCGGACGCGGATTCGCACTCGCCGAGCTGAGAGGCCCGGGCCACGGGCCAGTCAAATTAGCAACGCGCAAGCTGGTGGGGACATTTTTTTGTACAGCCGCAGGCGAAAGCGCCGACGGCGGGCGGTCACGGTCGGGCTGCGGCCGCGGCTAAATTCCCGGGCGCGCGCGGGGGCCGCGGATCAGGCGGCGGAAGGGGGCAGCGACCCAGGGCGTCTGAGAAGCCAGGCGAGCGTGCTATCCAGGGAGTCTGCAAGGAACGCCCAGGAAACGTGCAAGTGGCAAACCCAGGGAATCTGTCTACCACTGAGAAATCAGAACGCCGCCAGAATGGCGCGTGGACGCTCCCGTCATGATCGTAGCAAAACGACAGTTGGTAGGGAGCGAAATCCAAGCAGGAAAGTCAATCCAGGGAGTCTGACGGGTATGAGCAGACACAGCTGGGGACGCGGTCCTGCAGGAAGGTACTCTGACAGCGAAAACTGGTGGGGATACGCGAAGCGTCAAGAGTATTTACCTGGATCCAATGACCCGCGAGAAGACGACGAGGTGGGAGCGCGCGGGGGCGGTCTCCTTTCTTTTCCTGGTTCCTCGGGGGGAAAGGGGGGGCGGGGGGCAAAACGGGGCGGAAAGGGGGCCCGGGACGGACCGCGGGGCCACCTGAAACCCACAGCGGGGCCACCGCTCAAAATCAACCGCGCCAACTCCGAAGGGTAAAACGCACCCCGCCGAAGAGCCCCTAGCAGGGGGGGTCGCAAGTGCGACCTCACCCCAGGACCCCGCCCAAGAGAACAAGAAAGGAATAAACAACATGGCCCCAAAACGCAAGGGCGGCAACCTTTTCGGAAGCGGGGGGGGGGGGGCGCAAGGGGGCGCCCCGCTTAAGGCAGGGCCGCTGCGTTCGGCTCTGACTCGAAGGTTGCCGACCTGGATCTCCACGATGCATTCACCGATGCCGACGTTCGGCGCGCGGCGGATCCGCGCCAACAAGTTCGCGATGAGCAGCGCCGGGGCAAAGGCGGCCGTGACAAGTCGATGTCCACTGCCGCAAACGCGAAGACAAAGTGGGTAGACAACGGCAGGCAGCGCAGGCAGGCGGGAGCAAGCGCCAGGTTGCCGCGGCGCGAGACCCACCATCCCTGGTCATCAAGCCGGTCTCAGCCCCAACTGCCCGATCCTTGGTAAGAGGGCGGGCGATTCTCCCATGGGTGGCCTGCGTCTAAGTCGACCGACCATGTGGGTCGGAGCTGCGGAGCACCTGCGCGCGACCCCGCGCTCGGGGCGGGCGCGCGCGCGTCCGCCAATGCGCTGGGATTGGCCCCCTCGATCCCCTCGCGCGGCGAAGCTGGCGGGGGGTCGCTCAGCTGCCAGCTGCCGCGGGAGCGCGCCCCCAGCGTTCGCTGCCAGAACTTCCCCTGCCCCGGCAGCGCTCGTTAGTGCCGCCTTCGGAAGTGGCCTAGAGGGCGAGTGGCCCATCGCCCCGCCGCAACGCCAGAAGCACTGCCTGCTCGATGTGGCGCTAACCCAACTTGCGGAGAAGCATGGGGCGCTGCCCCCCGGAGCTAGGAGCGGCGGATGGCCGCGGCTGAGGTGCTGCATCGGCCCCCTGTCTTGTGGGCAGGTGCCGAAGCGCCCTGCCGAGCGGGCGAGCGGCGGCGGGTTGCCCCGAGGGCGGCTCGACCTCCATATGGGCGAATTTCGCTCCGCATTTAGAATTCGCTGCCTTTCGCGGCGCAGCGGCGTTCCTCGCGCCCGCGCGCCGCGCGCCCCTGAGAGACGCGCTGCCGCGAGTCGGCAGGGCGCGGCGCGAAACTCCAGGAGTCTGGGCCTGATGCGCTCGGGGGTGCTCGGGCCTGCGTCGATCCACTGGCACCATGGCCGATCTCTGTATCGGTCGGACGTGCAGTTCATGATCCTGCGCGCATGCGCGGCGTGGGATTTCTGCCAGGCTGTGTCGTTGCCCCAGCGCTTGGCCGTCGACGGCCCCGCCCTTTCGTTGGTGGCGTGGCGCGTCCGCTTTGGATCGTGAAGCGCCTTGCCAAAGTAGGGGGGGTCGCCTCGGAGCGCGACTCTCCCCCCTCGCTCTGGCCGAGGGGTCCAGGAACTGCCGCCTCGATCACATCGAGTACATCCTGGCGATGGAAGTCGCGACAGAAACCGACCCCCCCTAGGGAGCGACAGGCAACCTAG